GGATATCCTAACTGGGCCTTCCTGAAAGCAGAGAAGAAACCCAAACAGGACTCCAGTCAGCCATCAGGTGAAAAGGAGGAACCCAGACCCAGACCAGTGGTCATTCCGTATGTTGAGGGAGTATCAGAGAAACTGAGACGTTTATTTTCTAAACATAACATCCCAGTGGCTTTTAAACCCCAAAATACATTACGGCAAAGACTGGTTCATCCCAAAGATCCAGTCCCCCGGCACAAACAGAGTAATATTGTGTATGCTGTTCAGTGTCAGGAGGGCTGTGATCAGTCTTACATCGGGGAAACTAAACAGCCACTGGCCAAAAGGATGGCCCAGCACAGAAGATCAACATCATCAGGCCAGGATTCTGTGGTCTACACTCATCTCCAGGCCAGTGGTCTCTCTTTCAAGGATGAAGATGTTCACATCCTGGACAGAGAGGAACGATGGTTTGAGAGAGGAGTAAAGGAGGCCATCTTTGTGAAAAGAAATCGTCCATCGTTAAACAGGGGTGGAAGTCTCCGGGTTCAACTGTCCCCTTCTTACAATGCTATGATTGCTAGTATCACTCAGCCCTATGTGAATAGTAAACAGCCATCAGTGTGCTAATGATTCATTGTTAGGCTGATGGTCCTTCTTGAGCATGTGATCAGCTGGTTTTGGTTGTCAGCAGCAAACTGGTTGATCCACTCTGAGAAGGTGCTATTTAAGAGACTGAGCTGAAAACAGCACCTCAGACTGAGGAAGTCTCTTGGATGAGAGACGAAACGTTTCTAGATTTTTTTTTGCTTTGTTTTGTTTTTTGTTTTTTTGAATGTCCAGAGGACCAGATTGAACTATTTTGGATTTTTCTACCTGGATTATTGAGCATGCATCAGGATATCTCCTCAAGAGACTATTTAATTGTATTCTGAATTAATCAATTGAAAGAACACTCTTCTTTTTTTACATTATCATTACTATTTTAGAATATCTTGATAATCAAAAGTGTGTTTAGTTCATACCATTTCTAAATGTTGAAGTGAACCACTCATTTAAATCAACTGTGAAACAGTATTAATGATTTTTAAACCTCATTAGACTTAGAAATCAAGTTTAATGTCTATTTACAAAGTAATTGTGCATTTTGATCTTCTGTCTGAATGAGTGGATTTGATGTCGGTCAGAAGTCAGGGATGTCGGTCAGAAGTCAGAAAGCAAGTTATGAGAACAAAGTGCCTTGTTTTAAAACTCATCAGACAGTAAATAACTTCAACTGGCATCTGCATTTGTCTCACTTAGTTATAACATTTCTCCCTCTGTACTAACCGTTCGTAAACATTCTTGCTGTCTTTTGACTCCTAGTGACCCTCTTGACATCACTAGAACCACCCCCCTGCTGGTTGTTTCAACCAATCAGGAAGTACCAAGTGACCGGAAGTGAGTACTCTTTAAAAAGTCAACACTTCCTGGGACTATTCAGTCTTCTTTCAGTCTTCCTCTATGAAGTCTTCCCAGGAGTTTTCCACTTCTGATTGGAATTTCTGACTGGAGTCTTACTGAGAGTTCCTAAGGAACTTTCAGATTTAATCAATAGCTGATAGATTTGACTGTGAGACGAGGGTCCGTCCATCCCAGCGGAGTCACAGCGCCTCGCTGTGAACTCACCCGGGCGTAACGCCCTACAACTTTGAAGGAAGCTTGTTCTGTTGAACGGAGTAAATCGTCACGACTTCGGACGATGACCAGCCACCCTGACCGGAGACGCTGAAAGGTAGCGTGCAAAGGGACCTCTATACTGGAGCTGATCCATCCACTGCAAAGGTAAAGAGACGTCACGAGTTGTCACGCACTAAGTGGACCGGGGGTTTGAGCTGGTGTTGAAAGAAGAGTGCTAATTCTGGTCAACAAACATACATCTTCCTTCATCCATCTTCCTTTTAAATCTATTTCTTCTCTTTAACTTCTATTCGCCAGTAATCTAGATGCCTTCAGAGGTGAATCAGCCTCAATCAGTAATGTTCTGTTGTCTTGTTAGTAAAGCTTGCCAAGTTTATTGATTAGAAACAGATCAGCAAATCAATGTGTACATGTTTTGATGTTAAATTTTGATTCTGTTAAATAAATGACCGCATTTATTCTGATGGGTCAAAGATAAAATGGCGTCTCATGTCACTGATTAAACAATCCACTCACAGTTATCTCGATCACATGGCATAAATTTAACTCGAAAAAGAAAATAATCCGTTGTAATTAACAATTAATATTCTTTGTGCTTGAACTAGCTTTAAGAATAATTAATTAGTAGTGAAACTAACAGCAAAGCTGTCCTGACATCACTACATCAGCAAGGATTATTTAACAACAAAACAGACAGAAATAAGATACACTTTCCTGTTTTTTCTTCCTACATTCAATTCAGTTGCAACGAGCAAACATGAAAACAGCTTTTTCTCCAACAATTACTGTTAAATTGCCCTGTCACAAAATAAGGTCTTAAAAAAGACAGTTCCTGAACCATAATGCAATGCTCCAAGTTGTGACTCGACCCAGTTCTGAGTCAGATTTATTTCCTTGTTAGTTAAGCATTCATTTCCAGAACGTAATAAAAAACAAGGCTTTTAGCAGCCATTATTAATTTTCATGAAAATTACAAGCAAAACAAACTTACAAATATATTCTACATAATTAGAAGTAAAAAAAAAACAATAGTTTTCTTAAAACAAACATAGTAACTAAAGTCTGACTGCCTTTTATGTTGAATTAATTCAAAGGCAAACTTGGTATATTCATGGAAAATCAGCTCTTTGCGTGTAAACTGAAATAAAAACAGAACGAAATGATTCATAAATTGAACAAAACACACATCCAACTGTAAAATGTGCACATAATATATGTTTTAAACAAACTTTAGAAGAACTTAGATCACCATTTTTGTTTTAATTAGACTCCTAAATAAATAATTTTAACAAACAAAACATAGAACATTTCTTATGAAATAGCATTTATAAAAACGGAATAAATGAATGAATAAATTCTTAAAATTCTTAAATTCTTGAATAAAGTCTAAAAACAAGTAGCATATTAATAGTCAATATTTGAAACAACGTCATCACCCTCCGCAGACGTCAAAGGAGGAGCGATGTCCATGTCTGAGTTTATTTGTACCATTAGCTAACCGTATCATGAATCAATGAACAAATTTAAACTCTGAAAATAATCACTGGATGTACAACTACAACTGATCAAAGATTATTCAATATGGCTGCCACAGCAAAGCATTATGTAGCAGAAATGAAACAAGGTAGTCCCTTTTACAGATGTTGAGTTAAAGTTTGGTGTGGTAGTAGCAGAGACTTATCCCCAACCTTTCATCTGAGCACTAACTATTCATGTGCCATTTTAGTTCATGTCAAAAAAAGTTAAACAAAATAAAACTTATTGTGTAATTAGTTGTTAAACAAAGTACTTTCTAGGTTTACCAATGTTCCACATGGGTAAAGGGTTTAGGTTACTTGGTTTGAAATTCCCAGCACTTTGTATTTAATTATTATTATTAGCCCTTTATTTATATAGTTCCCAATGAGCCTCGGAGACTCGTTTACAAGAGAGACCTGTAAATGCATTTGTCAAAAAAAAGATGCACATCAAATCATCACAAAAATATCTGTTAAAATTAGCACCAATGGACAACAAATGGTATTAAAACTGGTGGTACATCCATATTTTGTTAGAAGACTGTTTTATCTGCAACTTCATTGAGTTTTTAGATCATTGATCTGAACAGGTCATCATAACAATGAACCTCTATCTTCTTGAGACATAAACAATCCCTCCCTCTGTGGCATGAATTAACTGATCTAATTAGTTGAACATGGCCTTTCACTTGTCATCGTTAACACTGTTAATTAGGAGAATCCGGCGCAGATCTTCAATGACCTTGTTATCTAACCCTGCTGTTGCTGAGCAGGTGTGTAACGACTCCCTGAGCAGTCTCACACCTTCCTCCCCCAGGATGGCAATCAGATGCTACAGGTTTACTGTTGTATTATCGCTGCAATAAGTATCAGTGTACAAAGCACCAGACCCTGAAATCAACTGTAATCCACATTAGTTCTAGATTATCTTACCCTCCATAAGCTCCAAATGTGAAGCTCCTCTTTCTCTGAGACATCCTGCTGAACTGCTGATGAGGTTTCCCCGACGTGAGCAGAACATCCGTGCAGTTCACAACACGGGGCTACAGAGGAACATGCACATGTGTTTGTTTCTCCCTGTGCCTCTAACTTTCTCTCCCCTCCTCCCTCTTCGTCTCAGCCCTCATCAAGTGTGCGTGTTTCTCCTGGTAGCCCTCCCTCCTTAACACTCTGCTCTCTGATTAACTAGCTTCTCTGTCCAAATAGGCAAAAGGTGTGTCCAGCTTTTATTCTGTGTTGTTGTCCTGGAGACGAATCTTAGGATTTCTTGACATCTCCCCGACTGTTTACTGTCTTGTTCTTGTCAGGAAGAAGTCACAAGCTTTTAAATTCCCGACCAGTACTCAGAAATAAAGCGCTATGTCGTATGTTGTTCTGCTTTATTGAGTACCTCTCCTGATGTGAATCACAAGTGCTCTTTGTCCATGAATTGTTCTTGTGGCGGGATAAAAAAAGAAAAAAGTAGGTGGACATTAAAACATCACAAAGCACTTGAAGTTCTAGGATGAAACATTTTTTTCCCATCATGGATTGTTTTATTTCTTTCTCATTTCAGAGCTCTTGATTTATTGTTATGCAGGAATGCTAGAAAATAACAACAACAAAAAAAGGTCATTGTATGTTTCAAGTATTTCCAAAGTTGGGATACATTTACTCCTTCAGTTAAAGTGGATAAGTGATTCTCACTTCTTCAGAGACATATTGAAATATTTACTGTATTAAAAACAGGTCTGATTTTGTGAAGGACATCACTGCATGGGACCAGGACTACGTCCACAAATCATTGTCTGGAAATAGCTGATTATGTCATTCACAAATGTAGTTTAAGGTTATTTAATGAAAGAAAAAAAAAAGCTGTGTATGAACACATTCAAGAAACATTGTCTTCTTCTCTGGGCCACAGCTAATTTAAAATGGACTGAGAAAAACAGAATATATCTTTTTTTTTTTTTTTTTTTTTTAACTAAGGCTGCCATATTCTCTATAGAAAAAAGGAATGGGACCATCTGGCCTATCAGTTCAAAGTTCAAAACCCTGCTTATCTAATTATATGGGGGTGCATTACTGCCTTTTGTACAGGTATTTTACATCTGGACACCATCTGGAAATGCATCATTAATGTATATATACATA